AAAATGAGTTTAATTTGTTGTAAGCCACCTGGTCAAATAAACAAGTAGATATCGACCGATAAAAAAATCCAAATTCAGTCGCTATTAGATCGCAATAAAGTAAAATGAAAGAGATTTCAAATAAAAATCATCGTTCTGCTCTTGTCTATCTAGTACATTCAGAATAACCCAAATAACTAAGTCTTACCTGAAGGAGGCCCTGGCGTGCTTGACGCCGACGCTGTTGGGGTTATCGATGCTAACAAATTCGGAAAAGAAGAAAAAGATACTTTCATTTCCATGACGATATAAAGAAAATATGAGATTATTTTAACTGCTTCGGAGTCTTCTGAATCGAAACTTAACCTTGACTCCAGTTACGGAATAGAAACGATTTTGCTGAAACACAATTTATACCCTTTATCCCCAATAGATATTAGAACGATTGGTTTCTTGTTCTATCGTCTCGAACAAACACAGAGAAATGACTGAGGCCAGGTTCAGACGTCGTGCTTCTGCCGTGTCAAACTTAATTGGTATTTGGTTCGACTGTAGCACGGCAAAGAAACAACTCTGATTCAGACGTCGTGACAGAGTCGAACCAAATTCAGCATTTACTGATGCCTCGTAACAATTCTTCTCCTAACTCCCCGTGGGAGCGCAATCTCGCCAAATTTATTAATTTTCTCTGGCGCTGCAGAACCACGACATTTGAATCGCTGCCGTACCAGAGTCGTGTAACACGGCAGAGCTTGTCGAACTTAATTCAAAAGTTTGATTCAGACGCCGTGCTTCTGCCGTGCTTTTGTCGAACTTAATTTCTGAATTTAGTTCGACACGGCAGAAGCACGACGTCTGGACTGGGCCTGAGGCGATGACATGTTTGGTTCCTGAGTAGACGTCATCATCCTCGCTGCCTTAGTCTCCTTGAACGCAGTCGGGTAAAAATTCAAGAGAGACTTCGAAATGGCATAAAAAATCGTAGATTCAACAAAATTCGAAACTTTTTGTCCGAAATGCTTCATGTAAAAAGTATTTTCATTTTAGCCCAAAAAAATTGGGGACGGTGGGGGAGTGGGCTTGGGTGCACTTTAATTAG